CTGCCCAGCTTTTAACAAAGCTCGCTGCTGCTGATGCATCAGCTACGACATGATTAACAGAAGCACAGATTGCCATGCCACCGCAAGAAAAGTAATTCACCTGTATTGCTAGCATTACCTGATCATCATCATCCCCAGCACTTGATTCAGGTAAACTTTCACAATCAACACCGGGCTCCAGTTGTTAAGGCAGACCAATCCCAGGTTCTTCAAGAACAATGGACATGTCGGAGGCTACCCGAGCTTCAATATAAATGACACCTTCGTCATCACAGTCAATAGTGAAGCCATCCTTGACTCTTCCCGCAAATGGATAAAAAGGGGCTAATGTTTTCAAGAGGGACTCTTTAAGCTGAAAAGATTTTGCTCTGGGGTTTTCGCCAGCTGATTGACAACGAATAGAATAGAATTATGGGGTTGAACAGACGATGGTAAGGGAACGAATGGAGCCGATCTAGAAGAGAAAGTTTATGGGTTCTCAAGTGTTGTGGGGTTGAAGATCAAGGTTTGACAGTTTCTCTAGACAGAATTTCTACTTCCATCATTTTATTTCTACTTACAAGCAATTTTTAGCCTCCAATGGGCACTATTTATTGATGTTGATTGATTACGGTATATAGCTGCAATTATTTTACCAATTCATATATTTTTATAGTCAGAACTCCAAGTTCATGCTGAGAGAAATTGTCATGTAGTTTTCTCCTTTATTTTTTTAATTGATTCTTTACTAGGAAGAGAACTTAGCTATAGATATTGCTACCAACGACGACAGGTAGATTATGATATAATAATGAAAAGAGATATATGAAATTTTATAAATGAAATTCATGAAATATTTTATTAGAAATGAGTAAATAAAAATTAAAATTAAAAAAATGATAAATTAAAAGATTTCATCACATAAATCAAGCGTGTAAAATTTAAAAATTTTAATATATTTATTAAATAGATATTTTTAGTAAAAATAGTTATAGAATTTTTATTGTTGAGTAAGTATTGATTAAATTTGAATTATAAATAATATTTTTAATAATTTTTTTTACATATTATTAATTTTCACATTAAATTTTATCAATTTAAATTTTTTATTAAAATTTTTATTTACTTATTTTTAATAACAAACTTCACGAATTTTATTTATGAAACTTCATATAAGTTTTCTCTGATATAATAGTATGATATGAATATAATATGAAAAAAAGTGATATAATTTAATATTTTAATAAAAATTATATATAGATTTAATAAAAATTAAAATAATATATTTCATATTTTTGTGTTAACATAAATTACAATATACAATTTTAATATAAAACATAATATGAATATACAAATTATTAATGTTTTATATAATATGAATACACGAACTATTAAATTTAAAAATAAAAAATTTTAAAAATTCATCTCAGGTCTCAAATTCACTTTTGTTTGTAATTTGTTGATAGAATTGTTGAACCTTTAATTTTAAAGATAAAAAAAAAAAAAATCCATTTTTAACATCTTTGAATATAAAAATCTAACAATAAACAAAATTAAGTCAAATTTAGTTGGTTTGTCTAAATATTAAGTTGTCATCCATGGCAAAGTTTAATTAAAATATCCTTTTAAAAATTTATTCTTTTAAAAATTGATTCTAACATCCTCGAATATAAAAAATCTAATAATAAACAAAATCAAGTCAAATTTAGTTGGTATGTCTAAATATTAAGCTGTCATCAATGGTTAAGTTTAATTAAAATATCCTTTAAAAAATGATTCTTTAATAAAAACTAAATTTATATGCCAAACTTTAAATGAATATTAATTCTTTAATATTTTCATGGGGTAAAAGGAAAAATAAATAACACAATGATTGTAGAAAAAAATTATTAAAATAATTTAAAAAAAAAACAAAACAAAAGTATGTTTCTCTACTCAACTCAACAAATATAGGATAAACTTTAAAATAACAAATTTTTTAGGGGTAGCACATTTAAAAATACTTAGTAGTTTATGTAGAGTAGTATCTTGCTTTTTTAATTTCTTCGTAATTGAAGATAAATATGAGTGTAAACAAACAAAATGTCTAACAAGTAGTTCGTGAATAAGTTTTATTTTTATTCATTTATATTTGTTTATTAAATTTAACAAATTATCGCAAATGATATTTTAAAATTTGTTAATTAAAAAAATTCAGTAAAATTTCTTCATATTTCATTTGATTATAACTTGAAGTGTAAAAAAAAAAAAGTGTTCAACAAGTAATTCGTAAACATGTTCAATTTTTATTCGTTTTTATTCATTTATTAAACTTAGTAAGTGATTATAAACATCATTTCAAAATTCGTTAATTAAATTAATAAATTACGAATATATTAAATTTATTTATATTTGATTCGTTTACTCATTTAAAGACAAATGTCTTTTCTATTAATGCAAGTTTATAAAAAAAAAAGACATTGTAATTGGATACTTCAAACATGTATAAAGGGAAAAAAACCTTCATAACATTGAATAAAAGTCATGATGGTAAGAATAAAGTATAATCATCTCATTAGGAAATAAGTTATACCAATTTTTATATACGAAAAGTCTATTATTCTGAGAGAATGTCTATATTTTAAAATTATAATTAAATTAAATATTTTATTAATAAAATAATTTATTGACCAAAGTTCAATTCAAGTCAAGCCAAATCCATGAGCTATTGGGCTGCCAAGCCCAATGACAATGTAGTTTGGAGATTTCGGCATAAGATTCAAAAGGTATGCCTCTAGCTGTTTGACTTAGTAACCAAGTAAGCCTTAAAAAGACATAGGGTTAAGGTTCAACCTCAGTTTCTCCCCTCCCCTTTGTTATAGGGTTCTGTTTTCCTTGAAACCAAAAAAAAAAAAAAAAGTATTGTTCATTTTCGTACAGCTATTAGTCCTTTGGAAGGCTATTCATTGGTCCAAAGCTGGCACATGACAATGGATATCTAACCATTGAAAGCTTCTTCCTTCACTGTCCAATTTCACGAGACTGATTCAACATAAAAACAATGTTATGCTTTGGTTTTTCTCGTTGGTGTATTTTGGACCTCGAAATATGCCAGCACCGATCATATCGAACAAGACTATTCTGGAATAAAACAACAATCCAATGGCAAAAATTAGACCAAAATGTATATATTAGACAAATAATAATGACTGGTATTTAGCAGCGTGAAGGGCTCTAAGACGTCTCAATGCTACCTAAAATCACATATGATAATATGATTTTTGGTATTTTCGTCTTTATGTTCTCATTTGAGCCGGCCGGGCCAACCGTTTTTAAACAAAAAAATTCACATTATTTGTTTTGTTTAATAGAAATCTAGGTGAGAGGAGACTATCCCAAATTGGAGTATACAATAAATTTCAACAAAAACTTACATTAAATATATAAATCATTTAAATGTTAGTATAAAATCGAACCTAATTAAATTTTATAAGCGAAATATTATATTTTTACAAATTTAATCAATCTAGTTGACAAAAAAAGATTTTTTTTTGTAACATAATTATTGGAGGCATTTAATGATCAAAATAGTATTATGATCTTTTTTTTTTATTAGAGGCTGTCAACAGGCAATTAAGAGCATTTAAGATATTTGAGTCGATCTGATATGTTCAGTATCACATCAGCTCAACCATGTCGTTGTTGTTCTCCATTACTTTCTTGCCTCTCACCTACATCTAGATATTATCATTTCAGGTTCCATCTTGCTCTAACTCTTTATATTTCTCTCATTTTGATCTCTCTTATTCTGATCTTTGACTTTTAAGAGTATTTTAGATATTCGAGTTGACTTGATATGTTTAGTATCACATCAGTTCAACCACGTTATTGTTGTTCCCCATTGGTTTCCTACCCCTCACTTATAAATATAGACATTCAAATATTATCATTTCAAGTTACATTTTATTCTAACTCTTCACATTTCTCTCATTTTGATCTTTCTGATATCTGACTTGCGTGTGGAGGTGCAAATGCAAAAAACACTCCTTACCTTTACATTTATCGGCTCTCTTCCTTATCTTGTTCTCTCAAAAATATCCTTAGATTGAAGTTCGACATAAACAATAATAATGTATAATTGCTGCAGAAATTGGCAATGATTTTGGGTGTCGGACTGCCACCTAACATTTTCCTGATATTAGGTGTAAACAGAATGTCTTACATCAAATCAGTAAAATATTGGTGAATTCCCATAAAATGGGAGTTGTAAACGATATGTAAACAACCAATATCCTTCCAACAACCAATATCCTTCCACCTCAAAGGTATTATCGAAAAACATTTTCATTTAAACTCTAATTATTAAAATTACGAGTACAACATTCTATTAATAAATCTATTTGGCAGATGAAAAATAATTTTCAATCTGACTTAAACCGCTCTGTCTAATTAATTGTGGATGCACTTCTTAACTTGTTGCTTGCCAACTTCATTGTTACACTTCCATAATGAAACTAATAATTCAACATTACTTTTCAGTAGTTTCCCAAGCTGCCTGTTTCAATCAATCAATCAAGGGGCTAGATCAGATTGAAATTGAGAACAAGGACATGACAAGGAAATCTTATCCATTACATTGTGTGCAGATTTTTTAAGGTCAAAAACTGTAAAAATCAAAGAGAATACATGGGACTGCAGAAAATGACATTTACCTTATTAAAGTTTTTGCAAGTACAACGTGTAAATCCATATTTACAACCTAGGTAGGAAGTTACAGACAAGTTGTAGATCCGAAGTGTTAGGAAAGACAAGGAGATAGGTATGTTAGTGATTGCTCCATGCATGTTGTTCTTGTATTTCTAAGTTTAAGGATGCAGCCATGAAAGCCAATAATTCTCATTGTTTTTTAATATTCTAGAAAGCTAGAAATCTTTGAGGATAACGATTTACAAGAAAACCTGCTTTTTTTTCCTACATAATGTATCCTTGCTTGGTAGTAGGGTCTTTCAGAGCTTTGTTGAATATATTCTAGAAAAGAGAGAAAAGGGGAGAGAGTGATAGTGAATTGGGGAGGAATGGCTCATGGTTATTTACCAAATGAGTTCCAGATCCAGGATACAGAAAGTATTGATGAAGTGATTGGTCTTGATCTCAAGCTTTCCGCCATGGCCTTCAGTTCTTACCCTTTTAAGCCTCTAATGGGGAATAATGCTGCTGGCTGGAGCCTCCACTTATCAGAAGAAACCAGAGATACTAAGAGGTTCAGACGAACTGTTAGCATTCCTGAATCAATTGGAAGTAACTGTAATCTTTCCAGTGGTGGAAACAGCGATGACAGCCTGAGCCGTAGCAGCAGCACTAGTAGCTTGAATAGCTTATCAAGGCTGCAATTCAGAGATCATATATTGACTTACAATCAAAGATACCTTGCCGCTGAGGCTGTAGAAGAGGCAGCGGCAGCCATGATCAATTCTGAGGAAAGTGGAGCCGAAGAAGAAGAAACAGCCGATGGGATGAGGCTTCTTCAGCGTCTCATTGCTTGTGCTGAAGCTGTGGCTTGTCGTGACAAATCACATGCCTCAGCTTTGTTATCCGAGCTTCGTGCGAATGCGCTGGTCTTTGGCTCTTCATTCCAGCGGGTAGCTTCTTGTTTTGTTCAAGGTCTTGCTGATCGTCTCGCTTTGGTTCTACCATTTGGGCCGGTTGGCCGTGTTGCACCTGTGATGAACATAATGGACATTGCCTCAGACAAGGAAGAAGAAGCTTTCCGCCTTGTTTATGATATTTGCCCACATATACAGTTTGGTCATTTCGTAGCTAATTTATCAATATTGGAAGCCTTTGAGGGAGAGAGTTTTGTCCACGTAGTGGACTTGGGGATGACCCTTGGTTTACCACATGGTTACCAATGGTGCCATCTCATCCAAAGCCTTGCCAACCGGGCTGGCAAACGACCCTGCCGCCTGCGGATAACCGCCGTTGGCCTGTGTGTAGGTAGGTTCAACATCATTGGTCAAGAGCTTAAGGCCTATGCAAAAGAATTGGGAATGAATTTGGAGTTCTCCATTGTGGAAAGCAACTTAGAAAACCTGAGGCCTGAAGACATCAAAGTATTTGATGGAGAAGTACTTGTTGTGAATAGCATTCTTCAGCTGCATTGTGTTGTTAAAGAAAGTAGGGGAGCTCTAAATTCCGTTCTTCAGATGATTCATGAGCTCGCACCGAAGGTTTTGGTGCTGGTTGAGCAAGACTCAAGCCACAATGGACCGTTCTTTCTAGGGAGATTTATGGAAGCACTGCATTATTACTCAGCAATTTTTGACTCCCTGGATGCCGTGTTACCCAAGTATGACACCAGGCGTGCCAAGATGGAACAGTTCTACTTTGCAGAGGAGATAAAGAACATTGTGAGTCGTGAGGGACCCGATAGGGTTGAGCGGCATGAGAGGGTGGATCAGTGGCGTAGGAGAATGAGCCGAGCAGGATTTCAGGCTGCACCACTCAGGATGATAAGCCAGGCCAAGCAATGGCTTGGGAAGAATAATGTTTGTGAAGGTTACACTGTTGTGGAAGATAAGGGATGCTTGGTTCTTGGCTGGAAATCCAAGCCAATTGTTGCAGCTTCTTGCTGGAAATGCTAAAAAAAATCATAGCTGCCAAAACTTTGTTCAAATTCAACACCAATAAGACAATTCCCTGTAGTGGAAATGGGTGGCCATGTAATCCAGTTATCTTTGTGATTTCCTGCTTAAAAACTTTGTTGTTGTAATAAACAGCTCCAATGGCTGCGGGCATTGGGCTTGAACTTGAACTGTTCTGGTGATTGAGCACATGAAATAAAGAAAATTTGTTTTTGGTGTGTGTACATGGAGTACTGGATTCCCCAAATTAATGTGATTAGCATTCAATTCATTCTTTCAATGACTAAACTGACTTTAACTTGTTCAATTTTCTTCCAATTTCTTGCAGGTTTCTTTAAAGTTTCAAAAAAATATCTCAGCCCATTTTCAATCACCATGGCTCAAAATCAAGGCCGGCAAATCACAAGTTTGATTACTGGAGTTTGAGTTTTCGATATGATCAATGAATTTTTTTTGTTCTATATGAACAATACTTGGCTTAAATTATTAAATTGTTAAATCATGACTCTTATTAGATAAAATTATTTTTACCTTGTTTGATCTTTTTTTTAATAATACGAGACAAAAAGTATGATTTGGATAAACAAATTATAAAAGAAGTTGACTAATAATTCGAAATTAACACAAGCAACTGTGGCTTTTATAGCTGTCAATAGCATAATTCCCACACCCTTATGAAGTTTTAATGTTAGATTTTATCTTTAAATTATATTACTTTTTACGATTAAGTATTTATTTTTAAAAAATTATATTTAAATAGTTGGAATTTATTTTTATCAAATATTTTATCCATACACTAATTCTATTAATGATAAATTGATATAGTTAATAAATAATTAATAATATTACGTGACACATTTTTATTAGTTAATATTTATCACATCAATAATTAATATTAGTCATGCAAAGTACTTAACGAAAATAATTTTTTTGAATAAATTATATTTTATTTATTTTTTAAAAAAGCAAACTGCTATATTATATTCTCATTGTACAATCTTCAAATCTTCTTGCCAAGCATATTGCTTATTAACAATTAAATCATATTTTAAGTATTATGCAATATAGTTGTATTTATATTCTAAACATTACACAAGTTCTTATTAATTGAGTCAGCAATATTAATCGAATACAATTCAAGTAAACGAGTTTTGATAGCTTTCTTAACCCAATCATTCATTCACTTTTCTATTGTTTCTTCATTTTTGAATAATTTACAATGTCTTTCTTTTTATATATGATACATATATATGAACATTCCAAGCAATGTATAATATGACTAATATGAATGCCTTGCATTTCATCCTTGCCACGGCCTATTTCAATTCATCAACCCACTCTCCAAGTTTTTATTAACCCTGCATGATTGCAATATTTTTTTTCACACCATTCTTGCGTATTCACTTGAAAAAAAAAATGATTTATGGATTCCCTTCCATGTTGACATAGATTTCATTCCCTAATTTCTCACCTAATCTTTTCTTCGAAGCTTATAGTCATCCTCATAATCATTGAGTATTTTGTAATATGATATTGAAACCAAATTAATTAATGTCATGCAATCTTCTTTTACTTAAATCTTATCTCATTTTAGATCATTGCTAGAGACAAACCACCCATCAGCACTATTTTCTTGTTTGATGAATTGGTGAGTAATAGATCTGAGTTGATGAAAACAAAGTTAGAACACTTAATGATTTTTTTTTTTTTTATAAATATCAAATCATTGAAAGTAATATAATTCATTAATCAAATTACATATGAATCCAAATTTTAAAAGAAAAAATGCCTATATTTATAAATAAAAAATAAAAAAAATTTGGTTCATAGTGTTGACACCATTTTATTTATTTATTTATTTATTTTTCTTTTTTTTTTCTCCTTTCTGATAACTTTTTTGTCGATCGTCATCAATCGCACTACCAACGGTTCTAATAGCTGCCTCCAAGCCATCGACAACTGTTCTGATAGTCGGTAGCTGCCTTAATACTAAGCCATTAAAATTTTAGATTTTTTAAGATTTTGATCTTCTTTTTACTTTATAAATTGAGTAATGAAACCGGTGAAAAAAAGAAAGAAAACAAGCTCAAAACCCTGTAAAAAAAATCAACCAGATTAAAAAAAAAAATTTCTGTCAAATAAAAATTCAAAGAAAATTGAATACATACAAGCACAGAAGCAACAGCCTTTGAAAACGAGGGCAACAACACCAAACAAAAACACCAACACAAAAAAAAATTTGATCGAATCTTTTAGATCAGATCTACGTAATTTGGAGCCCCTTTTCACAAAAACAGGCTTGGATCTGGACTTAAGAGGCTGGACGACGGTTGGCGCGATGGTGCAGTCATCGAATACTGGGTTTTAAAGAGAAAAGGAGAGTGTCTGAGAAAAAGTGAGAAAAAAAGAAGGAAATTGAAAAAAATAGCTAAGTCGGCCTTTAAATAGGCCTTCAAAACGACGTCGTTTTGATCTCGGAGGATCCGCGCGTCGAACCGACTACCCGTTCTCACTTTGACCCTCTACCGGTCTAGCTGAACTAGTCCAGACTGGATCAGACCAACGTTGATCGGACTGTTGACCGGTCCGGTTCAGGAAAAAAAATTTTTTTAAAATTTTTTAAAATTTTTTAAAATTATTTTAAATTTTATTATTAATATTTATACATATAAAAATATTTAAATTTATCAAAATAAATTTTTATTGTTTTATAATAATAATTAATAAAATAAATAAATAAATAGATAATAAAAGTTTTTGATTATTATATAATTAAATAAAAATATAATAAATTAATAAAAAGTGTAATAAAAAAAATTTTTTATCCGATGATGAGATTCAAAAGTACTTTGAGTAGTGATACTTATAAAATCTCTAGGTAAGAATATTTTTTTAAATACTACCAATGTATTGGAGTATTTATAAAAAATTTTCGATACAGTAAAAATTTTCTTTTTATGAAAATTAGTAAATAAAAATTAACTAATAAATTAAGAATAAGTAATAAAAAATGAGAAAAAAAAATTTTATCCGATGATGGGATTCTAAAAGTATTTCGAGTAGAAATGCTTTAAGAAATTCTTATGTGATAAGATATTTTTTTAAATACTATCGGTGTATTGAGATATTTACAGAAAATCTTCAATATAATAAAAATTTTTTTATTTTTTAAAATGAAAATATTAATAAAATTAATAAAATTTTTTACATAAAAAAATAAAATGTGTGCATTAACATATTAGCATTTTTACATTGCATTCACAACATGATTTTTATGAAAAATAAATTTGAATCTCCAAGTATGAGATTCTAAGGTATTCTGAGAAACGATATCTAAGAAATCTTTAGGTAAGAAAAATGTTCTTCTAATGTTACCAACGTATTGAAACATTTTAAGAATTATTTCGATAAAATGATTTTAATTTATTTTTCTTCAATAAATATGAAACAATAAATAATAAAAGGAATAAGAAAAAATCAAATTTTCAATAAATAAAATAATCAAGAAAATAATTTTTTTAAACACCGAAAATGATACTATTTTTTATCAAAAATCTAAGGATAACAAGTAGTTAATTGGTACCATTTTTAAACAGACATTGTGGGGTGCTAATCCTTCTCCACACGTAACCGACTTCCAAACCCAGACTATTGTGCAAACCATATAATTATTCTTTTAATAAATTTTAATTAATTTTAATATTTCATTAAAATGATATATTTTAATAGTTGATCAATCATACCTAACCAAAAAAAAGATTGATGACGATTCCATTATTTTTTACTTCGTATCTAAATTCATTGGACGGAGACAAAATCATTACGACACATAAAATAATGATAAAATATAATAATAATTATCTTCTATTATATTTAATTTATATATAAAAAAGTAATAAGATTATAAAAAAATTAATTATCATCTTAGTATTAAATGTTCAATCCTTTCCAATTATAAAAAATTATTTTTAATTTATGAAATTAAATTTACATATTTTATTATATTTTTAAAAATAATATTAATAATTTAAATTATATAAAATTTGAAGAAATATACCTTTGACTATCAAATAAAATTATTTTATTTTAATTATTATCTACATCAAATATAAAATAAAATAATATTATTTAATTTAATTTAATAATATTTATAATATTATATTTTTATATCTTATCATAATTTTATGCATCGTTTGACATTAAGTAGTAGAGAAGGGCAGTTTCGTAACTTTAGCATTGTAAAATGTGCATCTTAGCCTCGCATGGGGAAAGAGAAAGTTGGATAGAGAAGAAAGAACAGATGGAAGCAGCATCATTGTCCCCTAGCCTAGCCACTTCATCTTTCGGCACCTCAGCAAAAACAGCAACCAATGAGCGAGGCAGCACCAACTGCTCATCCTATGCCTCTTACAACAACCTTAACGTGCGCCACCTAGCAGCATTCCACAAACAATCCCATCTGTTCACAAAATCCCTTACACGTCCTTTTCCTTACACCAAATCCCATGCCTGTAAATCCACACATGGCAACTTCCTTCCCAACTTGGTCGCTTCCTTGGTCTGCTTCTTACCCTTCTGTTTTTTTTCTTTTTCTTGTCATAATTGAAATGCCCATGTTTTAGTATTTGAAGCTTTGTTGTTTTTTTTTGTTTTTTTTTTCCTTGTTCTTTACTTTTTGGTTCAGGAACAAGTTGAACAAACTTACATTATGGTCAAACCTGACGGTGTACAACGTGGCCTTGTAAGATTTGCTCCAATTTTGTTCAAATCTTATGCTTCATAATCCATTTTTGATTGCTGAAAAGCGGAAGGGAAAGAATTACACATTTTGAGTCTTGAATTGTTTGATATCTATTCGTTTATGTGCAGGCATTTTCAGTGGCCAAAAAGGGGATTGTTTGATTCTGACTTTTTTTTTTTTGTAAATTTTGGTGAATGGTTTTTTTTTTTTTTTCTAGGTTGGAGAAATTATTTCAAGGTTTGAGAGGAAAGGGTTTAAACTGACTGGCTTGAAGCTCTTTCAATGCCCCAAAGAATTGGCTGAGGTTTGTAAGTTTGTTGTTGGGCTGATATTTCTGTTTGCAGTGTTCTTGTACATTAAGAAACCCAATGTGTTTCATGAAATTTTTGGTGTTTTATGTTTGTTAATGCTTTCTGGGTTGATTTTAAGACACAAAATTATCTGCCCTGTAAATTGGATGATTTGTCAACAGCCGTATAATCTGTTGTTAGAATGCTAAAATCTTAGTTTCGGTGATCAAGGTTCAAATCCTAACAACCTCAAATACAAAAAAAAGGATGATTAACGGGTGTTTTGCTCTGCTTTTATAAAAGTCATCGAAATCAATGAAAATTAATAATGATTTTTTGCTGTGGTACACACCATTAGTATCATGTTAAAGCATTTAAGTTCTCCTGTACTATCATTATTTTTCTTACATAGTATATATTATGTTAACTTGGAATCTTTACTATGGATGCTCTTTCTGAGTATTGTAATATGTTTTGGGAGCTTACATAATAATATTCATAAGCAGCATTATGATGGTTACAGGAGCACTACAAAGATCTCAGGGCCAAGCCATTCTACCCTAAACTGATAGACTACATTACTTCAGGACCGGTTGTGTCGATGGTATGATTCTCCTAATTTGTTCCCATATCATAAGTTTCCAGTATGAGTTATTGATTGAGAAAACTGATAATGATTTTATGTTTTTAAGGCCTGGGAGGGTGTTGGTGTTGTGGCATCTGCACGTAAGCTGATAGGGTCTACAGATCCTCTTCAGGCTGAAACTGGCACTATAAGAGGAGATCTTGCTGTTCAAACAGGAAGGTTAGCCTGTGTTTACCCTATTCCAGTGCCTCTAATTTCTTGACTTCGATTTGCTTTGACAGCAGACATTCTGATAATGAACATGTGCCAGGAATGTGGTCCATGGAAGTGACAGCCCTGAGAATGGCAGGCGTGAAACAGGTGAGTAATCAAGTATATTGTCTCCGAAATGGTTTCCTCTCAAATGCTTTTGTATGTTTCTCAATTTGAATTCAAATGAATGTAGATAGTTTCAGCTTCTGCACTTGGCCTGCAGAAAATTTCTGCCATGCTCCAACAGATTCAGCACTAACTGAAATATGGTTAATACTCAAAATTAAAGTTTTATGGCTTTATGCATTTAGCCACTGATTAATTCTAAGATTCAATAGAAGAAATTTTAATTTAGACTAGGAACAATTACAAAAGTAGATCAGCCGGGAATCCTTTTTGATTGTTCCCTTTTGCCTGTTTTAAAGATTAGGGGAATGCACAGTAGCGGCTTCCCTTAATGACACCCCCTCCGTTCTCCTCACTTGCTCTCTTTCTCTTAATTTGTTTTCTTGTCCAGCTCTTTGGTTCAAAGAAGTTGAATTATGCCAGTGGACACCTGCTCAAGCATCATGGTTAAGGGAGTAATGAGTGATCTTTCAGCATATGCTTAAATCATTGTTGAGGCGGCACTCTCTAAGTCTCTCCTGACCACCTGTATTTCAATGTCCAAACATTCATCTGTGATTTAAACAATTCATTGAAGATTGATGTAATTGTCATGTTGGACCTGCAGTTTTGTAAGAGTAATGGAAGAAATTCATGCCTTTTCCTTTCTGGTCCCTGTTTCCGATAACTTTATAAGTACACTTTGAATTGTGTAATTGAGGAGACATTGATATTTTCTTGTGAGAAACAATTAATGATCCTTCCTGCTGGTTAAAAATAGAATAAGCAGCAACCTTTGTTCTTTGAAGTTTGTGAACATACCAGCACAAGCTATGGCTCATCAAGCCCCTTGAGTTGATTCACCTAATGTTTTAAAGGCATCCTGGAAGCATTTGTATTAACAAATCTAATACATCTCTCTTTGAACAAAGAATAAGGCACAATGATGAGTTAGACATTAATAATTGAACCATTTATTGTCGCTTGAGGCAATTCAAACAGAAAATCCAAAACATACACAGATTTGAGAACCAGTGAGGGAAGATGGAAAGGACCTTGTCATGCAACAAACAAGGAAACCCAGAACCAGAACCAGAAGCACCCCTTGAAATTCAACTGATATGCAAGAATATCATTATAAATTTTCTACGTTGTTTGATATCCATCAAAATGAATGATTGGGTTTTTCTAGTGTACAATGTTTAGGAAACTAGAACGGTAAAGCTCCTCTTATTTTCAATCCAAGCTCCTAGCGACAAAGTTGAGAATAAATCCAGGCACTCAATCAGGTAATAGTACCATTGTTTGTAACCCTTCATCAACAGAACAGAGGAAAAGAACTACCATTGCTAGATTCCTGGTTCCCCTGCTCTTTTGCGCTGCTCAAGGGTTGACACTCACTAGAACTCGAAAAACTTGCAGAACCATCATTCTCTATCATCATTGCTTCATGACTAGCTGTTGGAGTGCGTTGATATGCCTTAAATTTGGAAAACAGATAAAGAATCGAGACACCCTCGCTCCGTTGCTGCGAATTACCTGTCGATTGACAATCACTTGAACCGTTTGAAACACTTGCAGAAGAACAATCCGTATCGACCACCATTGCCTCCTCATCGGATGATATGTCTTGAAGATAGGAACCCAATTTAAGCTTCATCAGCGTAGCCTCTGTATGAGAAGTTGAATAATAATCATAATGGATTCATAAACTTAAAATAAAAAAGCGATTGACATTTAAGAAATACCGTAGATGGAGAGAGAATCGCCTTTGATGATCTTGGAAGGGGGAGTCTCCAAGCTGTCAAGTAGCGACGGCGACGCTCTTACTCTTCCGAACATCTCTCTCTCTGATTATATTTCCCTAATAACTGCTTCCTTCTCCACTTTCCAGTCTACAGTTCAAAAGACAGATCTGGGTATTTGAAAATGGTGGAAACAAGAACAAATGAATGAAAAAAAGAGCAGCTTGTGATTTGGATTTTGTTTGCCGCCATGGATTGAAGAAGCGGGAAGCGTACCGAGCACTCTCTCTGATTCTGGGCTTGTAGCTTTTTTCATCACTGACCAGACCGGCCCAAATCTTTTAGCCTACTTTGAATATTGGCGGGTCATGGCTGGGCCATTTTGTGTAGGAGCTTAATATTTTTCTTTTTCTTTTTTTTTTTGGTTAATTTTGACTGACAAAAAACATTTGTTTTTTGAAATTACAAAAAAAACTTAATACTTGTATAATTTATTGGTATTTTTTCCTTTTGGTGATATTTTTTATTTTATTTTCCAAATTGTGTTTAGTAAAAAAATATTTAAAAGTAAATTTTTGAATAATCAAATTAATGTTAGAAAATGTTTTTTTTTTTTAAGATCGTATGAAAAAAATATTAAATCCAGACAAAATTTGAAAGGTACTCTTAATTATTCTTAAATATTGTCCTAGAAAAAAAATTAAACTTAAACAAAACTAAAATAATGTCCTTTACTATATTTTTAAAAAATTATAATTATCGTAAATAAAATAATTTTTAACCAGTGTTTCTGGTGAATAAAAATGAATTGGTTTTGGTGTAGATGTTAAAAGTAAAAAGATATTTAAATAATTTTACTTATAAAAATTTTATAAAAAAAAAATGATGAAGTATAAAACGAAAATACTGGAGTGCATTTAGCAGTAGCACTCATAATTGTATCCAAAAGAAAGGTCATGGACTCGTTCTTATGTGAAAAACAATTACTGTGCATATGATTTTACTCCCATCAGCAAATGACATACCATCAAACTTGGACTCTCTTAAAGTCTGTGACCGGTGGAGCGTGGAAAATTTCATGCCGTTTTTAGTTTGTATCATCCACTAATTTCAATGAATTAATTTGTATACAATACAACCCTAAATGCGAACATGGGTCCTTAAATCACTCCTTAAGCTTTTGCTTTTAGTAAAAAAAAAAAAGTTAAAATTCTACCCAAATGGCTGACAATAAAGAAGATCATTTTCAATGCATCTGCAACCAATGAATACCCTATTTCTTCCTAAGATTCCGATTCCAGTTCGGCCGATTGCTTCCGATTCTGGTTCGGCTGATTGTTTAGTTAAATGGGGCTGAGGATTGGTTTGCTTTAAGGACTGGGATATCTAACTATGGGGAAGAGTAAAATCTTTCCCAATTTACATGCTTTGAAGGTACATATGTATGTTGCTGCTGCTTTATCCACTTCCCTACTTGTTGAAGAGAGGAAATGGGTTCTGAATTGTTGGAGAATTGTTGTATGTCAAAGCAATTTGCTTGCTGCATACAAATTACCACTAAGGAGCTTGTAAAAATCACAAATGTATCTTCTATGAATGAATCAAATTTCCACATCAAAAGAGGAAATTGTTGATCAGTCTACAAACAAGCTTGAAGTATACATACAGCAAACAGTTATAGACTGATTTAAGCCTACCTCTTCTTCAAGCCAATCAATCTCTCCAGAAAAATCTTCTAAACAAACCCCGCTTATGAACTTTAGTCTTTTGATTCGCACCTAAAATCGGACCAAAGAAAATGAAAATTACATGGAAGACAGTTCAATATGCAAATTCCAGGATTAAAGGTAAGTTTTAATGGAATTTTACACATCTATACTGCATGTGGAGGAATTCAGATGTCACAATTGCTCAACAGTAGGCGGAAAAGAATCAAAAGGTTGAATTACCAAATCTGACAAAAATATGTGGCAAGATGATTCTTGCCATTGTGATTTGTGACATGAATCTGACTTAAAACTAATATCAATAGGCTCATCATATTTAAAATAACAAAAAGGTGGAGACTGGTAAATGTAATTTGGCCATGAGCCGTTGAGCCTAGTGATAAGATATGGAGGATGGGCGTCCCCATGAAACAGGTTTGAATCCGGTACATCCAATAATTCTGTATATTGGACATTTTAGACAATTATCAATCCTGGGATGCAATTCTAAATGGTCAATAAAAATATAGCTTGGTGCTATTTCTTTTTTCAGAGTTTAGCTAATCTATCATGAAGAAGAAAAAGAGGAAAAGTGATGTTGGGCTGATTGTTTTCTAAATGCAAGTTTTCCTATTCCATATGCAGAAAAGGAAAAAAAATCAATCAAATTGTGAAAGGCTTCACTAAGTGTGGTTTAATTGCAACACTAAATTTAGCTTATGGTTCGAAAAGGATACCTTTTAACCTTCCAGCCTTATACAAAGCCTCTTCTGCAATAGGCCTCCACTGTTCTGCACACGAGTAGTTGATTCCAAGACCAACACTAAGTCCTCTCAGAAGATGTACTGTACGAAGAATAGAAAAAAGTTCCTCTGGAAAAGACTGCCATAGCCAAGAAAAAGAATTTGTTATAATCACTGGAAATTATTATCTAACTTCTGACTGAGAAACAAATAAACATCAATGCCAGATAAAGAGACAAATCTTGTAAGAATAGTGAGTGCTTCAGAGTTCAGACAATTACACCAAACTGAGCAAGAACAAAGATCAGGGGTTTTTTAGGGGTTGGGGCTGGGGGACTGTGGTGATTAAACTGTTTTATATTAGCCCTTACCCGTACACCAACTTTTTTTATTGAAGAATCTTCTGAGAATGGTTGCAGCATCACCACTCCAGGAGGTAGTTTCGTATCGAACATTGTCTGTGCCAAGCGAAGCAGTTCCTGTTGTTCATTCTCACAATTGCTTACAGTATCTATGCCAAGTTCCCTAAAATCAAGGACAAAACAACATAATCCACCCCAATTAGAGATTGAAAAATGTTAGGATAGCAATGTGGAACCGATGCAATTATTTAACCTTTCACTAGATTCATGTGGATCTCTCCACAAATTGCCTATTATTCTTACTTTATTCGAACACAAATGATTATCGTATGCACTTGGACACAAAATGCAGCAGTTAGGACTTAAGTTCCCTTCTTGTCCTGTCAAACAACTGAATTTTGTATTGAAAGGTTACTGAAAGCACAAATTGAAACCCACAAGTTTACCTATAGCTTTCTGTTGCTTTTACAGGATCATTATCAGCCATGGCAAGAACCAACTTAGCATATCCTAGCCTCAACTGGTCAGGCAGATCCTTCGCTTGCCCATAGTCCAGTAAGGCAACCTGGCTTAAGGAGAAAAAACAAACTGATTAAACAAATGATTGCACCATTGGCATGGAGAGTTCAATATTCCAGTCAATCATCAGTATGCTATATGGAAGATTATATAAGAATAAGAAATGGAAAGAAGGCTTATATCATAATTTAAAAAAAAAAAAATCATGACAGCCAACTTGCGTTTGAATATTGGCCAGAAAAAACCTTGCCTCTGATCCTTTACAGATCAATATATTCCCAGGATGGGGATCCGCATGGAAGAAACCACTCTTTAGTATCATCTGTCCATATGCTAGTGTCAAACTCTTAAGTATGTTCCTGCATTCACAACAAGCATTATTTTAAGGCCTTATTAGAAATTCTGAAAAAAAAAAAAAAAGGCCAAGATGACGGAAGAAGGAGAATAGGAGCCATTTCTCAATAGGCACAGAAATTTTCTTATTTTCTCTTTTGAGGAGGAAGAAAAAACAACTTAGGAAACCAGAAGTGATAAGACTCATAGCCTTCATAGATAACCTAAAGAACATCAAGGAGAAGAAAAACATTAAGCGATAAGAACATCTGAATGGAATAAAAAAATGCATGACAGATCCACTACAAGATTTTGGAGAAAATGTAATATCAGCAAACTGGAAACTTATTACTTTATTTCAAGTTCAAACGAAAAAGAATCTATAGCAGGAGAGTAATAGCTCTTAAAATAAGAAAGAATAAGACAAGAAGAACCCTGGGCAATCTAGATGCTTACTGCTTTGCGGCTGCTGCCATCCTACCACCAGGATTTATTCCTCTTTTAGCCATTTCATCACCAAGATTCAAGATAGGGATTCCATCAATATATTCCATCACTAAGACCCTCCTATTTAAACAGATAAACATCGCATTACTGAAATGCCAGCATCAGTAATGAAGCAGTAGAAGAAGTTCATGAAGAGAAATAACATAAAATGCATCCACCATCTAGAAAACATCAAGGAAACTCAATATAATGACAGAATAAAATAGCATCTGCTGTCCATGTCAAAAATAGAACACGAATTGAATTATGATACTGTTTTAGCAGAGAAATTTAATAGAGGGTTAAAGGGAAGCAATGGCCTGATCTTTATCTTTGTGTTGGTAAGATATGGTACAATCATGATGAATAGCCAAATGGCTTTTCCAAGAAAAAAAAAATGATGACAGTTAAATGCATGCATAAGAACTAGGAGCAACTTATAACAGGAAATATCACTGCAACCATTCTAATGTGTGGTGTGCACATACCAAATGTCGAGGTGATATAATTAGAAAGAACAAGGACTAACAATCCCCAATCAATCTTTTCCCTCGTTAGCAACTGAATCCTGACAGTCATAGAAAGTCTTGTTCTAACTTTTTGGGTTGGACTCAATAAAAGAAAAAAAAAAGGATAGATGAAATGAGCTAAGATATGCAATTCCTTTTGTGTCAAAGTGCATTTATCTTTCCTGCCAACTATTTACCTTCAACTAAATAGGCAACAACTTACATGTTTTATCTCAAAAACTAACAAATATTTTAGGGGTCAACAATGCAACAGTAACAAGGATAACAAAATTCATAGCTAACTTGCTGCTAAGCACACAAAATTTAAAAGACAAAATAAATGAAAGTGCATTCCACAGCCTTTATGCTGGTCAATCTAACTGATAAAAACAACACTCCTAAAGTAAAAACAGTAGACCCAAATGGAATGGCAGATGCATATTCAAACACATATCCTTGGATGGTTCTAGGACAAACCTCTACAAGCAATGGGCAGAATTACTGATTTATCTGTTCAAAGATGTCATTATACGATAAGACAACAACACAGACTTGCCTTGTGATGAAATCCTGTAGCACTCTTGGAACCAGAACTGGGGTCTTTTTGTTGTTCTCATATAAGAAATGGCTAATTCTCTCCATAGCATTGGCTTCTCTTACAAAGTCGAATTCATACCCAATCTTGAATAGCAGAAAGGATAAATAAATAACGACATCCAGAAGAACAATGAAATTCAAAACAATGTGGAAGGATACTCTCAACTTACATAATCCGGAAAGTATATAAAGCATAAGTCCAATCAACAAATAGATTAAAACATCTTACACAATCTATGCTTGTGGAAAAAAACTAAAAAATAAAACTGTGTGAAAAATTAAAAGTAAAACTGAATGTATATTGAAAAACTGCTCTTAAAGAATTATACAAGCACCTTAAGTTTATATACAACTAACTAGTGGGTAAACTAGGAAACTAAATCTTCCTAAAATTGATCCTATAATTGAGGATTGTCTATGCTAATTTTTTGTCCTTAATTCTAGGAATATAAATATTTAATTCTAGAAATACAAATATAAATATATAGATTACAAGATTACAACCAACTTTAAATAAGTATTTTCCCACACTCCCCCTCAGGCTGGTGAATAAGGGTTTTCCATCCCTAGCTTGGAAATAATTTCTTGAAATGTTGCACTGCTGAGACCTTTAGTCAACACATCTGCAAGTTGACCTTTGGTTGATACATACGATGTACAAATCAACCCACAATCTAGTTTTTCCTTTATGAAATGCCAGTCTAATTCAATGTTTTTTGTTCTATCATGTTGCACGGGATTGTGTGCAATTGTTATTGTAGACTTGTTATCATAGTAGAGTCACACTGGTCCATCCCACTTGAACTTCAAGTCTTTTAAGATAATCTTTAACCATAGTAATTCACAAATTCTTTGAGTCATTGCTCTAAACTCTACTTCAGCACTTAATCTTACCACCATATTCTGTTTTTTACTCCTCCAAGTCACAAGATTACCACCTAAGAATGTGTAGTAGCCTGAGGTGAATCTTCTATCAGTTGCTGAACTTGCATAATTTGCATTTGTATATGCCTCTAGAACTAATCCCAAATTTCTTTTAAATAAGATGCCTCTTCCAAGATTGGCCTTCAAGTAGTGCAATACACGGTAGATAGCCTGTAGGTGCACTTTTTTAAAACTATGCATAAATAGACTTATCACACTCACAACATATGCTATATTAAGTCTAGTATGTGAGAGATAAATGAGTCTTCCAACTAATCTCTAGCATATCTCTCTATCTACAGCAGCATCTTCATTAGCTTCTCCAAATTTATAATTAGGATCTATAGTGGTATTTGTAAGTTTACATACGAGCTTCCCAGTTTCCTTCAAAAGATTCATCACATTTTTCTGTTGTGAGATGAAAATACCATGCCGTGAGTGAGCTACTTCAATTCCTAGGAAGTACTTCAATCTCCCTAGCTCTTTTATCTCAAATTCTCTAACCAAACACTATTTTAGAGATTCTCTCTCTTTTTCATCATCTACGATTACAATTATATCATCAACATACGCTAATAAAACGGTGACTCTCCCTGAATCAGAATGCTTGATAAACAATGTGTGACCTCCTTACCTCTGCTTATATCCCATTGCTAGCATCACTTTGGCAAATATCCCAAACCAAGCCCTAGGAGATTGTTTAAGGCCATATAAAGCTTTTTTCAGCTTGCATACTTTGTTTTCTTCTAGATGACCTCCAAATCTCGGTGAAACCTTCATATATATTCTTCTTCCAAATCACCATGTAGAAAAACATTCTTTAGCTCAAATTGTTGAAGCTACCAATTGTAATTTGCAGTCAATAATAACAAAATCCTAACTTTATTCATCTTGGCAATTGCCCAAAAGTTTCCTGATAATCTATTCCATAAGTTTGAGTGTAGCCCTTGGCCACCAACTTAGCTTTATGCCTTTCAACAATACCATCCGCCTTGTATTTTACAATGAAAACCCATTTACACCCAACTGAATTTTTTCCTTTAGGCAATTCTACCAATTCCCATGTCTTTTTTTTCTCTAAGGCTTCCATTTCTATTTTGATGGCTTGGCTCAATTTTTCATTGAACAATGCGTCGGATAACGTAGTTTGAATAAAAATAGTATTTAAGCTCACAAGAAAATTTTTGTGGGATGGTGAAATTTTTCAAATGACACAAAATTAGAGATTGGGTATAGTGGATGCTTAGTACATTCCGTGGTTCCTTTTCTAATGGCAATAAGTAGATCATAATCACTAGTTATAGTTTTAGGAGATTCATGCTCATTTGAGAAACAAAGTAAAAGACTATAGTTACCTCAATTCCAAAGTTAGAATCAAGTTCTTGGACTTGCACTAGTTTAGGATTTGGAACTTTCCTTCTTGAGTACACATGTAATTCCTTCATAGAATCAAAAACAATATCATCATTTGTCACATCTTCTATGTTTGGAATGGGTTCAAATTGAAATACAATGTTTGACTTGGATTCAGAAGAATTAACGGATGAAAATGTTGAAGAGGAGGACAAGTCAAGCAAAAAAAAATCTTTATCCTTATCTTCCATGAATAAAGTCTCCCTCTAAAGATAAGGTTGAGTAAAAAATGGTTTACTTTCTTCAAAAGTGACATCTGTAGATACAAAAATTTTTTTTATGAGGATGATAGCACTTATACCCTTTCTGAGTTGATGAATACCCCACAAAAATGCACTTAATTGCTATAAGATCCAACTTCCTCCTACTATGAGTATGAACATGAACAAATGATTTACAACCAAATATTCTAGGTGTGAGGTTTGTGGTAGTAAAGTTGGGATAGAATTGTAAGAGTAATTCCATAGGAGTTTTAAATCTCAAAACCCTTGAAAGTAACCTATTTATAATGTGTGACAGTGAAAATAGCTTGCCCCAGTAAGATTTGGGTACGTTTGCTTGAAAAAGTAAAGCTCAAGTTATGGCTTGTACATGGCTGTTTTTTCTCTCTGCCACTCCATCCTGCTGTGGAGTATTAACACAAGATTATAATCTCATCCTTTTGGAAATAGGTACATAAACTCTAATTGAAATAATCTCTTGTATTATCAGACCTAAATCTCTTGATTTTTACTCCAAATTAATTTTGAATCATGTTTTGGAAGCTTAAAAACACACTATTCGCATCTAATTTAGATTTAAATAAAATTATCCAAGAGAATCGGGTACAATCATTTATGAAAAAAACAAACCACCTTACACCAAAAATATTAGAAGTTGTAGAAGAACCCCATATGTCACTATGAATCAAGTAAAAAAGAGTAAAACTTCTTTTATTGCTAACTGGAAAAGACACGTCTATGCTTTGCAAGTTCACAAACATCACAATAAAATTTTTGGCATTAAATCCTTTAAACAAAGAAAGAAACATGTTTTTCAAAGTTGCAAAAGAAGGATGTCTAAGACGAAAATGATAAAGCTAGATTTTGCCTTATTTAGGAGATTTTTCAGAAAGAAATGACAAAGATAAACTATTCTTGATATTTCTTGTGTTATTTGATGTCTCAAGATAGTATAGTCCATCTTTCTTCTTAGCAAGTCTAATCCTCTTCCCTGAACTCTCGTCCTGAAATTCACAATAGGAGGGATAAAAAATCACTTTGCAGTTCATCTCCCCAGTAAGTTTTTGTATAGATATCATATTAGTAGACAATCCAATAACATGAACATTTTTAAGAACAAACGAGGGATTAATTTGAACATCTTCTAATCTTGCCACTATAGTAAGTGAACCAACTACAACAACAATTTTCTTATCATTAGGACACAGGTTATATGTACTAAACTTAAATGAGGAATGCGTCATATGATATGCGATTCCTAAGTCAATGACCCAATAACTCATAATAGGTTTAACCGACACATTTAATACATGAGAACCAAAAGTTTTACCTGAACTAGAGACCTTACCCAAGGAACATACCCTAGTAGGGCTTCTTAGTTTCTCAATCTCTTCTCTGTCTAACTCTTTTTGTTCTCAAGACTTCTGAAGTACTTCGATGGTTTTATCAATTGTCACTTTTTCAAATCGGGTAGTAGTGGCAAATTCTACCATCTCTGGCATGATTATCTTTCTCGAGACTGAAATGAGTATTGATAATAAAGATTTAACCAGAGACGATTCTAGGCAATGAATGCCAAAGAAGGAAAAAATATAACTAAAAGATTTAACAAGATTTAGCTATGAAGGCCTGAAATAAAATTCAGCAACGGAGGCTGAAAAAAGTTTCTTCCCAAGAAGAGCCTAAAGCTTTGATACCATGTGAAAAAAACTAAAAAAATAAAATTGTGTGAAAAACTAAGAGTAAAACTGCTCTTAAAGAATTATACAAGCACCTTAGGTTTATATACAACTAACTAATGAGTAAACTAGGAATCTAAATCTTCCTAAAACTGATCCTATAATTGAGGGATTGTCGATCCTAATTTTCTGTTTTTAATTCTAAGGATACAAATACTTAATTCTAGATATATAAATATAAATATACAGATTACAAGATTACAACCAGTTGTAAATAAGTATTTTCCCACAATGCCCCATCTTGAATAGCACAAAGGATAAATAAATAACAACATCGAGAAGAACAATGAAATTCAAATCAATGTGGAAGGATACTTTCAATTTACATTATCTGAAAAGTATATAAAGCATAAGTCCAATCAACAAATAGATTAAAACATCTTACAAGAAAAAGTTCCCTTGGACAGAGAAACCGAAAAACATATATCAGTAGTTAAAAGAAGAAGAATAACGAGAAGAGGAAGATATCTTTCTCTGGCTTAGGTATCAAAGGTGCAGCTCATAAAATTCAAATCATAAGTACAGGCAAAATTCAGTATGTGTGTGTTACTGCTGAGAATCGATATCTAGAAGATAGCCTCATTACCATAACTTAAAGGCTTGAGATCAACCATCTAAATGAGCATGATTATAAATTCCATTAAAAGCTTTAAAACATGCATAAGTTGCAAATTTTTATCAGGGAGTAGTTCTCAACATAACAATCATAGTTAATATAGTACAAAGCAATACTGAATATAAGCACTGATATTCACTAAATCAAGTTTCTCTACCATTCAGAATAATGGACCACATGTAAGAACTTGATATTACACCTCATAATAGTTTCATCCAAGATGAGAAAAATGATTAGTTTAACAAATTTGGGAAAACAAAGAAGATGAGTCTTGCTTGAACAGTTTTTTAAATGGCCTAGCTGAATAAGCTATGCCATGAGGATAGAATTAGATTTTGGTGACTGGAAATGATTTATTACAAATTGATTGATTAATGAGATTCAAGAACTATAAAAGCCTTCAGCGATGACTATTAGTTTTTCTCTTGAGTATGATGCTTCCTTATTACTATGAATCAGATCCATCATTCTTCAATTTTTCTCCTAGCCATTATTATTAATCATTCAAAACCAAAAAATAAGTTAAGAAGACATGAAAACAGAAGAAATTGGAAAACAAGGATAGATGTGCTTTGCAAGGAATATCAGTGTGAATATAAACACCTGTTTTTCCATTTCCTTGGTAACAGAATACAGATCAAATTTGATATCTGTCCTTTGCATGTACAATGCAAATGCTTGCAAGTTACAGATGTCTGTCATCATCAGTTCTTGGACTCCTGGATGTTGCACCTGTCATAAACTTAATAGTCAGAATTTCATGGACATGTGAGGCTTTAAAATCATCTTCAACAGTACTTACCTTAACAACAATATCATTCTTTTCACCTCTGAGTCTTGCTCGATGAACCTAATTCAGAGATGAACACATTGAAGGTATATCCATAAGATTCTTATTAGCAATATCCTATTTCCAGCACAATATTTTCCCCCAGACCCTTACTAAACTGTTAAACTTTCAGGCAGAAACATATTCAAAACTTGTCAGAAAGTTAAAACCAGTAGGAATTCAGAGTCAAGCCAATGACTATTTTAAAAAAGAAAATAAGAAACCAAATTATTGAAATGGTAACATTAAAACTGGAAATGTGCAGTATCCTGTTGTATGTTGGCAAACATGAAGCTTATTTAATGAAAATGCTCATTCTTTTCTGATTTAATTATTTAAATGTTTCAACAGTTACCCTTCCCAGCCTGCTCGTATCAGAACTTTAAGCTAGGTAAAGAAATGGAAAATGGTACCTGAGCAATTGAAGCTGAACCAAGAGGATTTACATCAAACTTTTCAAAAGTCTCACCAATGCTTCGACCCAACTCCTTCTCTAAAACAAGTTGAACAGCATCAAATGGTGTCGCTGGAGCTTGATCACACAAAGTAACAAGTTTTTTCACCCATGCCGCGGGGGCTAGGTCTGGCTTCCCAATAATTTGAGCAACCTAATTTAATCCAAGTAGCAGAGTGTACAACAAGCAATTATAACAGTCTTTAATAAAATATAGAGATACCCTAAATCCAATGAACATCACCAATCACTCTATCATTGGGAAACAAAAAAAAAGAAGCTCAATACAAAGTGAAAAGAAAAATGTCGATGAGCAAAACTGGGATTCAAGAGGAAAAAGGAACACAATCAAACAGGTAAACCATTCTTTGACTGAACTGAAAGAACATAAAAGCAAAGACTTTGTAGCATACCAAGAGCTAAGAAGAGCCAAAATCAACAAAACAAGCAACAAATAAGAAATCAAACAGTAAAGAAAATAAAAACAGACAGAAACCCATTTGATTTGAACCGTTTTCACAGCAAAACTCATGGTAAGATACAAGGGAAAGAAAAACCAATTGAGATTAAAAGAAATGAAAATTGATGGCTCAAATCAAACTACCTTGAGGAAGAACCCACCAAGGTCAGAACACATAGCATAAATCTTGTCAGCAGCAAGTTCATGCTGTCTTTCCCACATTGCCTCTTGCTTTTGCACATCCTTCACAAAACTCACTCTAACTTGAAACACCTATCAAAAATTATCCAACAACCAAATTCTGTCAGATTAAGACAAACAGGACAGCAGAGGCCAGAGAGAGAGAGGAACCTTGTAGCCCGTATAAATATCAGCAGCTCGCACCCAGAATTGAAATGAGCGATGCCAAGGTCTCAAGTGAAAAGACACCTTCTCTTGAATCTCTTTGAAATCAAAACGAGAAGTAATACCATTCATTTTTTTTATTTAATAATTGTATAATGTAATAAACAAATTTAAAAAAAAAAAAAGAGAAGAATTCAGCTGTGTCTTTCGTTTCGCATTCTTGGACCGTGAAAACGCTGAAACAGAGAGCAGAACAGAGCTGAGACTTGAGAGAAGAGAAACCCTTTTTATAGAGATAAAATTAAAGTAGTATTATGGGAAGGGAAACCCATTTTATAAAGATAAAAATAAAGTAGTATTATGAAGAAATATTGTGGCTGAGAAGCCGAATAAGGTGAGATTTGGGTGTCGAAATGCAATGCAAATGGTGAAGAGAAACAACCATCGCTTGCAAGGAACTGGATGGTTACCATTAGCTTGTAGCTTTTGTACCTTTCGTGAATGTGACGCGGCTGACGCCTAGCCTGACATTCCTTCCTCTGCCTAGTTGGCTTCTGGGCTTGTGGTTACGATTAGCTTGAAGCTTTAGGCCTTTCGTGAATGTGACGCCTAGCCTGGCCTATTTCCTCTGCCTAGTTGACTTTAGGGATAGTGTTTTTTTTCTTTTTCTCGAATTTCGAATAACAGGAAGATGGCCATGTAGTTTTTTTTTCGTTTGTTTTTTCAGTTTTTCCCCTTTACAGATTTTCCCTTTTACACTATGTTCAAAATCAGTTTAAGTATCATAATTTACATTAACTTATAAAGTATTATTCATTTTAATTTATTTAATTTTATAATTTTATTTCATAAAAATATCTCACAAGTTAAAAATAATATAAATATTTATATCTTATAATTAATTTTAATACACAATTAATATAAAATTTATGATTACTCATCAAGATCATAAAATCATCCTCACTCCAATAAAAGCCCACTATTACCTATGTCACATCACTAATACCCTAAAGCCAGCTTTGATACCAAATGTTATAGTCCACACTAACTTATGAAGTAACTTTTATAAGATAAAATCATGAGATCCAATGAGTCAAAATAGATAATACCTTGTAAGTTGGTGTAGGGTATGACATATGGTCTAGGATACTAATAATGTGCCATCGGAAAACGTGGCCCTAAGGAGAATGTTATGATCTTGATAAAAAGTCATAAATCTCACATTGATTGTGTATTAGAGTTGATCTTAAAATATAAAGGTTTACACCACTTTCAAGTTGTGAGGCATTTTGTATAAAATAAAATTATGAGGTATAATGAGTCGAAGTGGAGAATATCTCATAAGTTAATATAGACCGTCACATTTGGTACCAGGTCGGCTCTAAGATACTAACAATGTGTCATCGAGGATAGTGAGCCTTTGTTGGAGTGGAAAAGATGTCATAGTCATAGTAAGGAGCGATGAATCTCACATCGATGGTGTACTAGAGTAGGGTACTAACAATGTGCCATGAAAATAGTAAACCTTAGTTGGATCGATTGTGTACTAGAGTGCGATACTAGCGATATACCATTAGGGAACTATGAATCTTACATTAGTTGTTTACTAAAGTGAGGTACTAGCAATGTGCCACCGGAGATGGTAGGCCTTTGTTGGATCAGTTATGTACTATAGTGGACATCGACTGCATACTAGAGTGGGGTATTAGCGATGTGCCATCAATGATAGTGGGCCTTCGTTAGATCGACTGTGTACTAGAGTGGGGCACCAGCGATATGTCATCGAGGACTGGGAATGGTAGGCGTTCGTTGGATCAATTATGTACTAAAGTGGAGTACTAGCAATAGGGATGATGGGCTTTCGTTGGAATGGGAAAAAATATTGTTGAAGAGCCATAAATCTCATATCAATTGTATACTAGAGTGGGATACTAATGATGTACCAGTGAAGATGGTGGGCTTTCATTGGAATGAGGGAAGATGTCATAGCACTGGTCTCTGAGCTTTCATTAGAGTGGAGGAAAAGGTCTACGAGCTTTCGTTGTAGTGGAAAAAGATGTCATAGTCTTTGTAAGGAGCCATAAATCCTACATTAGCTGTGTACTAGAGTTGGTCTTGAGATATAAGTATTCACACCACCTGTGATACATCGCTAGTATCATCTTTGAGCTTTTGTTAGAGTGGAAAAAAATGTTAAAGTACTGGTTTTCGGGCTTTCATTAGCGTTAGAGTGGAAAATATGTCATAGTATTGGTCTCTAGGCTTTCGTTGAAGTAAAAAAATATATCATAGTCCTAGTAAGAAAACATGAATCTCACATTGGTTGTATACTAGAGTTGATCTTAAGATATAAGTACATAAATGTTCACACCACCTATCGTACTAGTAATGTACCATCAAATATTATAAGTGTAAATGATACATTAGTACTCATAAATTATTCAGGTTTGATTCGAATAAAACTCGAATTCAACTCGATTATTATTGAGTTAAGCTCGAGCTCGAGTAGCTTGACAAATCAATTAAGCCAAGTTCAAATACTTTTATATCCAACTTAAGTAGCTCACAAGCTTAATTGAGCTTTTATATTTAAATATATTTTTATTATTTTAATTAATAAAATATCTTAAACTCAAATCGAGCATAAATAATCAAGCTTTTATCAAATATAAAAATTAAACTTATATTTACATGTTAATCAAGCCTAATCGAGTGAGCTTAAGTAGCTTATTTTTTATCTCGAGTCAAGCTCTTGCTAAAAAAATAAAATTCGATCGAGTTCAAGCTAAATTTTAAGCTTCAAATTTTGAATCAAGCTCAAGCTTGAGTTTAATACTATATCGACTTGAACTCGATCGATTACACCGCTATCAAAGATGATTGACCTTTGTTAGAGTGAAAAAAGATGTTATAGTTCTAGTAAGAAGGTCATAGTATTAGTCTCAGCCTTCATTAGAGTGAAAAAAGATATCATACTAGTAATGTACCATCAAATATGGTAAGCCTTCATTAAAGTGAGAAATAATGTCATAATCTTAGTGAAAAAGTCATAGTCCTTATCTCAGGACCTTCATTAGAGTAGAAGAGGATATCATAGTCTTGGTGATAAGTACATTGGTTGTATACTAAAATTGATCTTGAGATATAAATGTTCACACCACTTATCATACTAATAATATACTATCGTGATAATGGGCTTTCATTAGAGTAAGAAAATATGTCTAGTCTATGTCATAGTCCATGTTATAATCCTAGTGAAGGGGTCATAGTCTTGGTCTCTAGGCCTTCATTATAGTAAAAGAAGATGTCATAGTCTTGATGGTTTTTGGGTTTTTGTTAAAATGGATGAAAATATCATAATTCTGGTAAGGAAACATAAATCTCATATTAGCTGTGTACTAAAGTTGATCTTGAAATATAAGTATATAAGTGTTCACACCACCTGTCATACTAATGATGTACCACCGAAGATAATGGACTGTCGTTAGAGTAAGAAAAGATATCATAGTCCTAGTGAAGAGGTTATAGTCTTAGTCTCAAGCTTTCATCGAAGTGAAAGTAGATATCATACTAGCTATGTACCATCAGAGATGGTAAGCTTTCATTAAAGTGTAACAAGATATTATAGTCCTAGTGAAAAGGTTATAATCTTGTCCTCAAACCTTCGTTAAAGTAGAAAAAAATGTCATAGTTCTAATGATAAGTACATTGACTATGTACTAGAGTTAGTCATGAAATATAAGTGTTTACATCACCTATCATACTAGCAATGTACCATCGAAGATGGTGAGCTTTTGTTAGGATGAGAAAAAATGTTATAGTCTATGTTATAATCCTAGTGAAGAGGTCATGGTCTTGGTCCCCTGACTTTCATTAGAGTAAGAAAAGATGTCATAGTTTTAGTGATGAGTGTATTGATTATGTACTAGGTTAATCTTAAGATATAAGTGTTAACACCACTTGTCGTAATAGTGATATACCACTGAGCATGGTAGACTTTCGTTATAGTTAGAAAAGATATCATAGTCCTAGTGAAAATGTCATAGTGTTAGTCTCAAACCTTCATTAAAGTGAAAAAAAATGTTATACTAATGATGTACCATCAAGAATTATAGGTTTAAGCTTTCATTGAAATGGGAAAAGATATTATACTAGAGATGTACCATAAAAATGATGGGTTTAGGCCTTCATTAAAGTGGGAAAAGATGTCATACTAGTAATATACCATTAGAGATAACGAACTTTTATTAAAGTAAGGGAAGATGGCATAGTCCTCTTTCGTTAAAGTAAAAAAAGATATCATAGTCCTAATAAAAATGTCATAGTCCTAGTGTCACGGATATAAGAAAGAGTCTTGAATCTCACATCAAATATAATAGGAGGGTCACTGGGTATAAAAGGGTTCACACCACCTGTCCCTTGTGAGACGCCTTTTGTAGGATAAAATCGTAAGGTCAGAGGGATCAGAGCAGATAATACCTCACAAAAGTGTGAACTGTGACGGTCAGGTTGATCCGAGACATCGAAAAGGTGAATGCTCGGGTTCGAAACTTAAGTCTCGACCCGTGACACTAGTTCCAGGCTTTTATTAAAGTAAAAAAAGATGTCATATTAAAGATGTACCATCAGAGATTGTGAACCTTCGTTGGAGTGAAAAAAGATATCATAGTCCTGATGAAGAAGTCATAGTCCTAGTCCCCGAGCCTTCATTAAAGCGAAAAAAGATGTCATAATCTTGGTGATGAGCCTTTATTGGAGTGAGAAAAGATGTTATAGTCCTGATGAAAAAATCATAATCCTAGTTCCTGAGCCTTTGTTAAAATAAGAAAATATGTCATTGTCATAGTCTTAGTGATGAGTCATGAATCTCACATTGACTGTGTACTAAAGTTAGTCTTAAGATATAAGTATTCACACTAATGATGTACCATTGAGGATGGTAGGTCTTGGTAAATAGGTCATAATCTTGGTCTCTAGGCCTTTGTTGGAGTAAAAAAGATGCGATAGTCTTAGTGATGAGCCATGAATCTCACATTAACTGTGTACTAATGATATAACATCAGGCCTTGAAATGAGAAAAGATGTCATAGTCTTAAAGAAGAGTCATGAATTCACATTAACTGT